ACTATTCTTCTGCAACCTATAATTATCTCCGCTTAAAATCAGAGACAAACAAAAAATAGGCTAGAAACTGTAATTTGATTTGTGCAGCTGATTGTTGAGTTCATAAAAATGTTGTTACTAAAAGCATCATTAAATATGAGTGAATGAATTGCGCTGATGAGCAATGCGATTGCCGAAAATTTATTTCTATTTAAGCTACCTGCTGTTAACGTCAATCTCAACTACGCTGATCTAACGACAACAGCAACAACAACAGCAATAGCAGCAGGAGCTGCAAGGACTCATCAAATAAATGAAATCGAGCACAATAACAAAAGGCGAGCTGCCATCATTTGGCAAATGCAAAGATAAACTTCAACAATAGCTTAGTGGCTCACAATGACTCGGTTTCGCAAAATGAAACGAGTATATTGGTTTTCTGCACCATACATGTGTCCGTATGTAGAGTCTCAAGATTTGAGACATTGATATACCCTATATAGAAACGAATTATGAAGTATCAGCATTTTTTCAATTCGCCCACTAGGAGCGTGGCAAATCGAAAAACGGGCTATCAAAGGAGTTGAAATTAAGATTATATACTCGGGCTGACAACAAAAGTCCAATAAGATATGGAGAGATATATCCTCATATACGCTCATTGAGGACGTGGCAAATCAGAAACTAGAACCCGTCCCAATAATACGTATCTATGTATATATAGAACAAACTTGTAGCATTTGCGACGTGAATGAGTGTTATGCAGTCGGTACTGCTCGACTTCAATGCTCTCACTCGCTTTTTTTTTATGTGTGTCACTCGAATAAATGGAAGTACGCACACATATATCTATATATATGTGTGTGTGTGTGTGTGTGTTTGTATGAGTGCAATCAGACAGCTATCACCATCTATTGTAGCTCTCGCTCGCACCCTCTCTCTCTCTCTGTCTCTCTCTCTCTCTCTCTCTCTCAGTGGATAATCAAAACAAAAACACTTGCTTTGTTATTGTAGCGAAACAGTTTTATTTTGAAAACAAAAGAAGAGCCCACTTGAGCTTATGCTCAGTTCGCAAGGATAACTTAATGCGATAGTGTGCGAGCATATGCCACGTGTATACCCAGTGTCCCCGATGGCCGCAAAGGTGCGACAGAGGGTAAATAAACCAACGTACATGCATATATACATATATAAATTCCAGCCAAGTACCTGAATTAAGCTGCTCTACATAAATAATGTATTTATTAAATATTTCAGGCCTGAGAAATTATTCGATCCACAAAATGAATAAATGAATGAATATAACCGTAAAGCTGATTGTAGTGTGGTATTTTTTCTCCCTTTTTTTGAATTTCTTTCTCTCTCTCTCTTTAATGTCTTGTGCAATTTAAGCTATTAACATGTTTTCATTTAAATATAATGCAGCAGAATGTTCAAAAAATTCGAAAAATATGCTTGATCTATAATGTAATTATACAATAATTTAAATATAAAA